GCTGAGAACATTTGGTGTTCCCACATAAATCCATGGGTTCAGTCAGAGGATGAGTCTGCAGTAACACAGGTGTGGTCAGGTGGGCCTGGAGGTGCTGGACACACATGGAGATCTCACACTTCATGCACGTCTTCTTTGCTGGTTTCCTGTCCTCTATACACATGTCACAGAGAATAGTTTGTGGATCTTTTCTTCTCCTTTTTGTTTGTATGCTGTCAGACATGTTTTCCAGCAGGAAGTCCTCCTTAAATTTGCTGAATATAACTCAGTGTTGTACAACAGTCTGGATTATCTGGAAGTTGGTTTGCATTTTACACTGTTAAAACAAATAGAGAACAGGTTGAGTCAGGCAACTTTTACAGCAGAAATATGGACGTGCCAACATGAAAACACAGATCAGTTTAATTTGCAAACAAACTTTTGTGCTTGGGTAGAAAAGACATGGACTTGTAATAAAATGCAATCAAATGATAAAATCCAGGCAGCAATGTTTCTATTGTTGTGCCAACATAAAGGCTTTGATGCTTGAGGCAGGATTTACTTCAGTATCAGTTTGTTGGTGCACAGAATAAATTGGCAAATTGACTAACTTTCTTTTTTCATATAAACAAACATGAAAACGCAGTGTTCTCGCTTCAGTCAATCAGATAAATAAAATCATCCTACATATTAAAAATATACTAACGTTATCATCTTTCAGATCATTTACATTGTATAAAACAACCGCTGTGTTTCTTTGTTGTCATTAATAAGACCAAAAAGCTGTATTTACGCCGATCTAAACCGAAAACAATCAGAAAAGATAGACTCGACGATGCTAAGAACGACCGTGAAACCGAGAAGATGGAGTAAGATACCGCTAGCGATCAACCGACCGAGGCTAATGTTCTGGATGCAATTCAGTCGCTCAAAATGCATTTTACAACTCAACTGCGAAAAGTTTACATGAAGAAATAAAAGATGCAATCGGAGTGTTTTCCGAGAGCCTCACCTCAGCAGAATCTCGTATTAGTAAAGTTGAGGAAGTGGTTTCCTCACTAACAAGTTGGGAGGCCACTTGTTAACTAAACTGTCAGGAACTCCAACTGAAAGTGGA